GAAATGTGACACAAAATGATTCATGTGTTCATCTCTTGCATAGAAAGCTTGGCCATGCCAGCTTCAGAGTTTTACAAAAGATGCAAGAGTTTGGAGAAGGGTTGAACTTAAAAAGGTATAAAGCAGTGGTGAAATCCTCTGCGATTTGCCCATGCATGTGCAGTGTGTGCCAAACACATGATGTGCACACGCTCATGCGCAGTGCGTGCCAAACGCATGTTTCACGTGGAAAAAGGACACTTAACAAGTTAAGTAGAACAGAAGAGGGGGGACAGCTGTGCCGCACAATTTAAATTTGCTAGAAAGCAGGATTTCCTATGGGCCAATGCAAGCCAGTTTTGGAGGAGCAAAGTATGCACTGGTCATTGTTGATGACTACAGCAGATTTGGTTTCTGCTATTTACTAAAGAGTAAAATAGAAGTGCTACAGAAATTTAAGCAATGGATAAGCTTCGTAGAAAGAAGGTATAAACAACAGATATGTCAGTTGTAAACTGACAGAGGTTCAGAATTCATGTCAACAAGTTTTCAACAATGGCTGGGACAGTTGGGAATAAACTGTCACATAGACGCACAAATCCATACACAGCAGCTGAGAATGGCAAGGTTGAGAGGCAGAATGGTGTCTTATAAACAATGAAGGATTCACTGCTGGAGGATTCTGGTCTGAACAGGTCATATTAGGGTGCCATGTTGTCTGCTAATTATTGAATCAATAGGCTGTGGAGTTCCTCATTTAATAATACTCCATATGCTGTGCTATATGGGAGAAAGCCACCTCTGGCACATTTAAGGATTTTTGGAAGCAATTTATGGGTGCATATTCCAAAAGCAATCGGAAGAAAAGGTCAACCAAAGGCTAGAAAGCTCAGGTTTACAGGCTATGAGCCTGGCTCAAAGAGCTATCGCTTTAGTGATGGGAGCAAAAAAATAGTCATTGCCAGGTCTGCTAGCTTTGCAGAGCAAAATTTGTAATAGAATTGATGCAAATTTATGGAATGATCCACTTAGTGACGGTAACTCACTTAGTGATGGTGTCAGCATTCAGGGAGGAGAAACTGAAAGAGAGCAAGAAAAAGAGTTGGGGGAAGATGACGACTCAGATATGAAGCAAGAGCGGGTTGAAACACAGGAGCAGTCAATGCCACGCAGGTCAGAGCGATGGAACAAGGGGATTCCATCTGACAGGTATTCTGCTAGTAAAGTCAAGGTGTGTAATGTGTGGTATGAGCCAAGAAACTATCAGGAAATATTGGCATTACCCAAAATTGAACACGTAAAGTGGAAAGAAGCCATGGACAAAGAAATGAAATCCATAGGTGGACATAAAACGTTCACATCTATGACTTTGCCACAAGGTTGCAAAGCTGTAGGATGTAAGTGGGTGTACAAGAAGAAAGTACTACCCAACAATGCGGTACAATATAAAGCAAGATTAGTGGCACAAGGTTTTTCACAAAGGAAAAATGTGCACTATGATGAGGTATTCGCACCAACGGTGAACAGTGAAAGCATAAGTTTAGCACTAGCATTGGCAGCGACATGTGACCATAAAATTTGGCATTTTGATATGCAGATTTAGAGGAAGAAATGTACATGGTTCAAGCACCAGGGTATGAAAGCAAAAGGCCAAACACTGTATATAAATTGAACAAGGCCATTTATGGGCTGAAGCAGTCAACCAGGAATTGGAGTATCTGTTTAGATATGGCATTGAAGGGTCTTGGGGTCAAGGGTTGCAAGGCTGATGGTTGCATATATACTGGAAAGTTAAAAGGTGGAGTGAACCATGTGAAGAATACAGGGGTGAAATCCAGCAGGTTCTGACAGGTTCTGGAGAACCAGTAGCAGAAATTTTGAGCAGTTCCGAGAACCGGCAGTGGAAATTTTGAGTAGTTCGGAGAACCGGCAAATACCACCTCTGGCTGGCTTCAGAGTGGGGAGGGAATGGAGATTTTGCAATATCCTTCCCCTGGAGTGGGGTGGGAATGGAGATTTTGCAGTATCCTTCCCCTGGAGTGGGGTGCGAATGGAGATTTTGCAGTATCCTTCCCCTGCCACGCCCACCAAGCCACACCCACCAAGCCACACTATGCCCACCATGCCACGCCCACAGAATCGGTAGTAAAAAAATTTGGATTTCACCACTGGAAGAATATTAAGTTATTTGATTTTATGTCTATTCCAGTCATGAAGGGGTGTCAGTATGTGAGAGTTCATGAATTGCGATAGACATGGTAATGGGGACTGTTTGGTGACCCAGATGGCTCAGAGCCTGGGCGTGGCTTAGGTTCACTGATCTGTATTTATATGAGTGCCTCTGTATTATATTGTTTCTGTGAATATTACTTCTGTGCTTCAGTGATTATTGATTCTGTACTTCTGGATTTTGAGTTCTGGTTCTGGCTTCTGCTGTATGATATTGTATATAAAGAAGTTTCTTATATAAACGAATCTTGCTGAGTTATTTACTTGTGTGCTGGCTGGATTGCTCAAACTCTAACAAATCCCCCCTCCCAAAATAAAAAATTATCTATTTCCCCCATCCCCATCTAGGCCACTTTTCTTCATCTTGGTTGCCTGCCTGCCTTGCCCTTTCCTGTTCATGTGTATATGCAACACACACATACAGATACAATACAAAGAAAAGAGCCTGTCATTTTTGTTAGTCAGATCCCTCTTATGGCCACTGCTGGTGAAACAGTTGGAAGGCATTACCAAACATGTGCTCTGGCAGGTTCTTACCTTGCTTTCTTAAAAGGTTAAATCATGGCAACTGGACCAAAGTTTATTAAAACGGAGACATTTCGTTACTCATCCAAGTCAGTGGTGGGTTGCCCCCGGTTCGTACTGGTTCTATAGAACCGGTAGTAAAACTGGCGGGAGCTATGCCCACTGACCCTGACATCAAAACACTTCTGTGCATGTGCAGAAGCTTCTGCGCGCACGAGTGAAGTGAGCACAGATGCGCGGCCCCGCTGCGAACCGGTAGTAAAGGTAAGTAGAACCCACCCCTGTGTTCTGTTCCCGTCTCACACACGCACACAAACAGACAGCTGGGGGTTAAATAAACTGACAGACAACCAATTCTTCTGATAAGATGCTTGGCAGCAACCCAATAGCTGCTTGCCAAGAACTTCTACTCAATAAACAAAATACACACAGTCAAGAATTGTCCATTTCATAAAATAAATCCAAGGCCGATAATGTTGTTTCCACAGATGCAATGTGACTCGATAGTAGTTAGTTTTGTCCGTCACAGAGTCTGAATGGCCACCTCACCCCCTTTTATATCCTGTGGTTCAGTGACTCAGCCTAATCTCTGGCACGCCTTTTCTTCTGTTGCACACGCTTATCTCTGCGACGCTGCCAAGGATCCAGCCAAGACTCATTACCCTCATCACTGTCCACTGTGGCTGCGTGGACGTGCTTGGCCCGGCCCTATCTCTTGCCCTTCAGCAGACACGAAGGCATTGCCAGAGAGGAGGGTCCTGGAGAGGGAGGCCTTTCCAACTCCTCTCCTTCACTCTCGGAGTCCTCTCCTGCTGATGACACAGGCTCAGGTAACGGAGCCACAACACCCTGATCCAAGTGACTTCTTCAGTCAAAAGGAAGATTTGGGTAGGCAGAGAGAGTCAAGGTAGTCGTTGGAAAGAACCAATTCTACCATACAGAAAAGCAGCATGTAAATATCTTACTTTTTAAGATACTTTTGGCCTGGATGATTGAGTCTTCATTTATATCTTACCTTGCTTTGTTATCCTACTATTACCTCAAAAATAGTTCTGAACTACCAGTAACTTACTTGGGCATAAATGGAAAAGAAAATGGACTGGGGTGGAGGCAATCTCAGATTACAGTTCTTTCCCCAAGCAATGGGGATGAACATAGGGAAGACAACCAAACGGAATGGCTCTTTTGTAGGGACAGCCAAGCCAGGTGGGTTCTCAGCAGGACATTGGAATAGCTATGTATTGTTCCTTTTTCTTCCTTGGTTATGATGGAAACAGGGTGGATAAAAATCGAATTTTTAAAAATTTAAATTGGAATTTTTTGATTTTTATCAAATTTATTTTAATAAAATTCTTTTGGAGTAAAAATCTATCAATAGATAAGTTTTCTATTTAAGATATATTAATAATTTAGTTTATTCAGCATGAAATGGAGCTTAGTTATGTAGCATGAGGCTGTATATTCTGCAATATTTACATTTTTGGTAAACTCACTCAATGAATCCAAACTCTGCAAGCTGAGATAATATGCACTGTGTTGATGCATTCACCCAATTTCACAGTAGCCATGAGATAAATCGTAAAACAAAGTTCAGGAATATTCCTTTATCCCATTGTTTTGCAAATCTATGTGCATTACAAACTGTATGATTGTTTGAAGAGAAATGCATCTGTACCACCAGACTCTAAGTGTGAGGAGGAAGGGCAAGCAGTAAAAATGAAAGTGAAACCTTCCAAGTAGCTTATAAATATAATACTAAAGAGCACCTGTCATTTCAGATCCATCATGGCAGCGCCTGTTATAGCAGGCATCCACTCACCTGCTGCCTGCCATGTCCCTCATCTTGTTGTGTCACTGCCGCTTCACCAGCCATCCCATTAAAGTGAATGGGACTGTTGGTGAGTCAACAGCGGGTCGGGGGTGGAGCTGCTGCAGGACAGAGATGACAGTTGCTGTTTAAAAATTGTGATTTAAATTGAGTTGATTTAAATCAACCCTTTTTACTAGTGATTTAAATCATGATTTAAATCACCCTGGATGGAAAGGGTGAATAAGAGATTCAAAGTGGAGGGGTACCAGGCTGTGGCATGCCAGAAACTGGGTCACGCAAACAAATGAAGCCCCGTCTGCAGGATGCAGGCAGTACATGAAGCCACACCTCCTCCGTTCTATGGAAAAATGGTTTTCACCACAGAACCAGTTCCTGGTGCCCCAAAAGTTGGAGGCCGCTGTCCTATCTACCCTCTCTCTTTTTCTCTGTGCTCCAGGATGCGTCCTGTCCAAAAGTCTCTGTGTGCACTGATAGTGCTGACAGCATCCCTGGCTTTCCTGTACCTTCACGTGTGGTCGCCAAAACATGACAGTACGGTGGATCTGCGACATCGACCTGATCAGCCGCCCAAGTTCTTGTTGCCCGATCACGTGCTGGTGCCTGACAAGAAATATGCGCACATTGCTTTCCGGATCAAAGAGGAGATTCTGGAGTAAGGCAGAATCCTTTACATCCCAGTGGCCCCTATTTTCTAAAAAAAAAGAAAAAAAATGGTTGATTTCACATTGTACATTTCCCCTTTTTGTATTTTGCAATATTTTGTGTAATTGTGTGCTTTCCTTCCTTTTTTAAATTTGCAAACGTGGTCTGCCAAGAGGTTCAGCTCTGTTTTCTCCGTTCTGCTTGCCTGCCCTTCCCCATTTGCTATTTCTTCTCTTCCCTTCCTGCCGCCTTCTCTGAGGATTGAGAATCTGATCATTGAAGAACCCTGGCGCTTCTGCATATAGCTAGTCCTCAACTTACAACAGTTTCTTTAGTGACCATTTGAAGTTACAACGGCACTGAAAAAAGTGACTTAGGACCATTTTTTACACTTACGACTGTTGCAGCATCCCCGTAGTCATGTGATTTATGTTTGGATACTTGATAACTGGTTCATATTTAAGACGGTTGCAGTATCCATGTGATCCTCTTTTGTGACCTTTTGGCAAGCAAAAGTCAATAGGAAAGTCAGATTCACTTAACGATGGTGTTACTAATTTAACAACTGCAGTGATTCACTTAAATGTGGCAAGAAAAGTCGTAAAATGGGGCAAGTCTCACTTAACAAATTTCTCACTTAGCAAAATAAATTTTGGGCTCACTTGTGGACGTAAGTCAAGGACTACCTGCATTTAGGCCTGATTTAGGGTCTGGAGACTTGGCAGTCAAACAGTTTACGTATTACACTTTAGCAAATCATACAGCCAGTTGATCTTCTATGTTAAAGTTGTCTTAAATTGGCAAGTATTGGAGAAGATCTTGCATTCTTGGTGCTTGTTTCAACCAGGGTAGGGCTTGAGTGGCTGAATCTGTGCCAATAAATTTATGATATACATTGCAAGAAGAACTATGGCCTATCAAGCAGTCTTTGGATTGGTCAAACAAATGGCACATCCAACAGGGCACATGGTATTCCAAAATTGAAAGACTAGAACGGGTGCCAAGCCCGTCTTTCCCTGGGTTGCCCTTTACTGAAGGGCTACAGTTGCATGCAGTATGGCAGATAACATCGCTAGCCATTTTCCCCTCTCCCCGGCTCTTCACATACTAAGCATGCCTTCATGCATTTTCAAGGGCACTTCTTCCATACAGTGTCCAGCCTATCTAATGGGAAAAGTAAATATTTTTAAAACATTCTTAGGAATGAAAGTCTGTAGACACTCTAAATTATTTGCACTCTAAATTGTAGACATAAACGTTCTTAGGAATAAATAGCAGGGACATGGTGGCTCAATGGCTAAAGGTCGGCAGTTCAGCGGTTCGAATCCCTAGTGCCATGTAACAGGGTGAGCTCCCAGCATCTGACCACCTAGCAGTTCGAAAGCACGTAAAAAAAAAATGCAAGTAGAAAAATAGGGACCATCTTTGGTGGGAAGGTAACAGCATTCCGTGCACCTTTGGCCTTTAGTCATGCCAGCTACATGACCACAGAGACGTCTTCGGACAGCGCTGGCTCTTTGGCTTTCAAACGGAGATGAGCACCGCCCCCTAGAGTCGGGAACGACTAGCACATATGTGCGAGGGGAACCTTTACCTTTAGGAATAAACGGTTGCTAATTTGCTGAAGTCTCTTCCTGTGCAAGCTGTGCATCTCTACATTGCCTGACTGTGACCTACAGCAATCAGAACATTCTTCTGCAATGTTTAGTGTTGTCTCTTCATCCCTTTGGCAGGCTTCTTCCTAAAAATTCCTGTAAATGTGAGGCACAAGCAAGTTTGAAACTGCCCTTTCAGAAAGAGCTCTTTGGTCAGGAGTACTCTCTGGAATTTACCAAAGTCTTCAAGCCTTCTGACCTGGCGGACATCAACAGCAAACGGGAACAGGAATATCGCAGTCATCAGCAGAGGTGAGTAATGGCTAGAGCTGGGCATAATCTTTAATATATAATCTTTGATTGCATCGAGCATTGTGGACGAAGCACCTCATGAAGCTGATTTTGGCCATTAAGGCTTCTATGAGACAAGTGAAATGTCAAGAACAGAGTTGGTGAAATGAAGCCGCCGTTAATAATGAGCAAGATTATCAATGAACAAAATCCAGGGTACCTAAATGATATACATGCATAAATGTGCTTGACATCATGTCTATGGAGATTCTCAGTCATCCAGGTCATGGTTATTCCAAGGATGCTTTTTCAAGAGACAACTGGACTTTGTTTTTCTTTGAAGACATTTCGCTTGTCATCCCCAAGAAGCTTCTTGGATGAGAAGCGAAACATCTTCAAAGAAAAACAAGAAAGTCCAGTTGCCCCCTGAAAAGGCACCTTTTTGACATAATCGTACATAAAATATGAACATTCCGGATTTTAGATTATGTCGACGTATCAAACATGAAAAGAGAAGATTGTAAAATCTATACTAAGATTCAAGGTTTTCCTTTTCAATGCCAAAGTCTTTAGCCTGAATGTGTTGAGTCGCAGTTTTAGATAATACTTATGAATAGATGGTTTTATAGCTCAAGCAGAAAAGAATATTGGTAAATAAGAGAGAGACTTTTCTCGCTAAAGTTTTCATATAAACATATGCAAATCAGCTTGGCAGACTTCCTTCACAGGGCTTTCCACGATGAGGCCATTAAAACTATAAAAGTCATCTTGCTTATTGCTCTTTTTTTCTAGCCATTAGAAGCCTGTGGTGGGCTATGGCTTTGTAAGTTATATAGGAGGAAGCATTTTTAAAGGAAACTACTACAGATGAAGAGTTTGCATTTCTCCCATATTGGAAGCCAGCAAGGTTCTTAAAGAATAGATCTACTCTAGGCAGCATGTCCTGAAAATAAAGGGTATTCATAATTTGCATTGATGTCATTTCTGATGTCGTTTTTGGGGCTTAAGGGTACCACCTTTTCAGCGAGTATCAGCTTGGCATGTAAACATAGTGTTCATGTTGTGAAATTTTCATCAATTGTTTTCCGCAGTGTGGACAATATTTTCAGTTGAAAACAGTGAGGTAGGCACAGTCATTCCACCCAGCCAGCAGATAGCAACAGCTCATAGAAGCAGGGTTTGTCTGATGGTTGCCATTTCCCTGTGCCTCCAGACAAAGCACAAACAGACCCCATCCCTTTCCACACCCGTTGCATGCCTTACAAACATGGTTGCCTCTCGCCCCCAGTCAGATCCCCTCTCAACTTGCAAGCTTTCTGAGATGATGAAAGAGTCTTTGAACCAGTGAAAAGGGACAGAGCAAATTAAAATTGTGGGGAACCTAATAATCTTCCTGACATTTATTGCTAAATTCTAACTTAATATCTCTCACTGGCTGTTGAGAGTTATTGTTTAGCAATTGATAAAGAATAAACCAAGAAGTTTTTTTAAAAAAAGAAATCAATTACATTCTGAATGTAGGTAATGGCAAATCACTTCCCTATATTGTTGTCAAGAAAATATGCGGACATTGGGAATTGAGCTCAACTTGAAGAAAGCTTTAGTGAACCTCGGTGAGGATACCGCCTCTATTTTTAGGGTAAAGTAATCCTTTGTTTTACTTGAAGAAGTTTTCCAGTAGCACTCAGTGCTGTCCTTGAGCATTTAAATCAGGGGTGTCCAACCTTGGCAACTTTTAAGAGTTGTGGACTTCAACTCCCAGAATTCCCCATTCTGGCTGGGGAATTCTGGGAGTTGAAGTCCACAAATCTTAAAGTTGCCGAAATTGGACATCTGTGATTTAAAGACTTGCTTGGCAGGATTAATTGATCCATGGATTAGATCAGGTGTCCTCAAACTTTTTAAACGGGGCCAATTCACGGTCCCTCAGACTGTGGGGGGGCTGGATCACTGGGTGGGCATGGCTAGGTGGTCATGTGACTGGGTGGGCGTGACTAATTTAGCAATCCATTTTGCCAATTTAGCAGTCCATTAAACAATATACACAAATTAAACTTTAATTTGTTTTTGTTCCTGGGGGTGTTTTATTTGCTTTTGTTTGCATGTTGCTCTTTTGGATGACTTTTCTTTTTACTAGATGACTTTTCTTTTTACTAGATCATTTTTTAAGTTGTTTAGGAGTCTAGTGGTCTCTGAATTGGTGGTGGGAGGCCGATGAGCCTCATGCTGAAGATCAGCGGGGAGGTGGGGCAATCCCACAGTCTCCCAAAAAGTCTCCGCCACTCAGGCTCGGAGCGGTAAGCTGCATCCAGAAAGCACTGCGATGGAGAGAAGCAGCTTGAGTCAACCCTAGCTTTGCTGTCCATTGCAGCTAGAAATTGGCCAGCTGGACATCCGTGCTCTGCTGGATTGGCGAAGATGCCTCTCCATTAAGGTGGGCCAGCCAGTTGCCGGCCTCCCCCTTCCCACTGGTTGTGTGGGCACTTCTGGTGAGGAGGAGGAAGAGAGGCGCTTGTGGCGGGAGAAGGCTTGGTAGGTGTCAGAGGGACTTGGTAGTGCAGTGTCACAACATCATCCACTGGTTTTATTTTTAAAATGTGTGGTCTTCTAGCTTCTAGTCTGGTTTCTCAGCAGTGCCCTTAACCACAATACAAACTCTAAGCTTGTGTTTAATTAGGTTCTCTTTATCTAGTTTTAAGACTTGCATGGAGAACAGATCATGTTAGTCATACGTATGCAGAAAATTCAGAAGGGTGTAGAAACGTTTAAGCACCTTTGCACATGAATTACAACAACAGAATTAGTAGCTTACTGTGCACCAGTATTTGCTAAAAGCAAATAAAATATTCTCTATCAGTTTTAAATGTACGAGTTACTGTTCTAAATCTGTCAATCAGAAAGTTACTATTACCAGGCAGATAATGCAAACATGAGTCTTTCCAGATATAGCAAAACTTGGAGGGCGGAAACTCTGCTGCTTGTAAAATTATCTGACAGAACAAAAGCAGGATTTTCGGAAGTTGATCATTGAAAAATTCACATCAGATATCGTTAAGTGTGCCTCTGACTGGTGCATTCAATATGGATTGTAACAGAACTCTGATTATGTTCAGTGATGGTAGGGAAAGATGTGTTCAGTGGATCTGAAGGATACTATCTGGAGAAGATGACACAACACTACCAAGTAACTTCCTTGCTCTTTTTTAGAACTGTCTCTAGAGGCAAATAACAGAACTATGAAACTAATCTGGAAATTGCCCATGTGAGCAAATCTATTTTTGGAGCATACTTCTTGGAAGCTAGAAAAAATGTAGGATAGACAGCACCAGCACCAGTTATATTTGTAACTCAAACCATACTCAACGTATAGTCCTCAATGGAACTACATCCACATGGCGGGGAAGTAAGCAGTGACGTACCCCACGTTTCCGTTTTAGGCCCAATACTCTTCAATATCTTCTTACATAAGGGAATAGACAAGGGAATAGAAGGGAAACTCATCAGATTTGCAGATGACACGAAGCTGGCAAAAATAACCAATACCCCAGAAGACAAGCACAAGATCCAAAAAGATCTTGACAGACTTGTACAACAGGCCCTACCTAACAAAATGCAATTCAATGTAGATAAAAGTAAGGTTTTACACTTAGGAAAGAAAAACTAACTATGTAGGTACGGACTAGGTGAAACATGGCTTAATGCTAGTAATTGTGAGAGGGATCTTGGAGTCCTGGTGGACAATCCCTTAAATATGAGCCATCAGTGTGCGGTGGCAGCCAAAAAAGCCAATGCAATCCTGGGCTGCATTAATAGAGGGATAGAATCAAGATTACATGAAGTTCTAGTATTGCTTTACAAAGCTTTAATATGACCACACTTGGAATACTGCATCCAGCTCAAAAGGTCTTGTAGAAGAATTAGTATTATTAGAATTAGAATGATTAGTATTTAGTATTAGAAAGTTTCTACAAGGTCACCAGAATTGTTCTTCAATCTCTGTTCTGGAAATGCCAATTTTCATAACAAAACCCAACTGGAATTGTTTTTATTCCATCACATGGTAGTGATGGGAAAAATGAGAAAAAAATCTCCTTAAGATAGGTACATAAGTTAACCCATAACCAAATAAGGGAATAAGGCAATGGTGAAATTCATTTTTAAAAAAACCTACCGGTTCTGTGGGCATGGCTTGGTGGGCGTGGTGTGGCTTGGTGGGCGTGGCAGGGGAAGGATACTGCAAAATCTCTGTTCCCACCCCACTCTAGGGGAAGGTTACTGTAAAATCTCCATTCCCTCCCCATTCGTAGGGGAAGGATATTGCAAAATCTCCATTCCCACCCTATTCTAGGGCCAGCCAGAAGTGGTATTTGCCGGTTCTCCGAACTACTCATAATTTCCGCTTCCTGTTCTTCAGAACCTGTCAGAACCCCTGGAATAAGGGGCAAGCTTTCCAAACATTTTTTCAATTTTTTCAATTAGGAGTTTCCCCAACATTATTTTATCTTTCTTGTCCTCAAGCATAGGCTAAAATATGACAGCTAGCTGGAGGAGTTTAAGATATTTTAACCAGAGTAAAAACAACAGCAACAAAATCAGTTTTAGCTGTCTGTCTTTAAATAAGTCAGATGAAACTGTAAGTCATTTTTATGGAGAAGGCATAAACAAAAGATAGTCATGCTATTGATTATTAAAATTCAGGAAGAAGAACTTGTTCCCAGAGAATGGAATGAAAATCACTTTTTACTGTTGATTTGATGACTTCCTACTGAAAGCAACCAAACCAACTGTAAAGACAGAACATGTACTTTAAGAAGAATTTGCTTGCTTTTCATTCTTCGTTCCATTTAATGAGCAATACAAAAAAGATGTCGAGACTCTGAAAAGAGTGCAGAGAAGAGCAACAAGAATGATTAGGGGACTGGAAGCTAAACCATAGAATGAACGATTACAGGAATCGGATATGTCTAGTCTAATGAAAAGAAGGACTAGGGGAGACATGATAGCAGTTTTCCAATATTTGAGGGGCTCCTACAAAGAGGAGGGGGTCAAACGATCTTCCAAAGGCAAGACAAGAAACAATGAATGGAAACTAACAAAGGAGAGAGGCAACCTAGAACTAAGGAGAACATTTCTAATGGTGAGAGCAATCAACCAATGGAATAGCTTGTCTTCAGAAGTTGTGGGTGCTCCATCACTGGAGGCTTTCAAAAAGAAAGTGGACAACCATAGGGTCCTTCAAGGTCCCTTCCAACTCTATTATTCTTTGTTCTAAGTTACTTAATTGTAGAAAATCATTATTTCCTGCTGCTTGCTATTAGACCATTTGGATTGGAAATGCCAAAGTTGAGACTTCAACTCTAACTGAACATGTACGGACAAAAACTTTCCTATGCCCTGAAAGTTGGTATTAAATGAAAGTCTTTATTTGTCTTCCCCTTCTTTTCTTTTGTCTGCCCCAAACTGTTTTAAAATCAATAACACTAAAAAAATCTTCTTTTGCCCTTCCATTGCTTAACAAGACATTAAGACTCAATAAGTGCTGAAATCTAAAATGTTTCGTTTTAGTGTGTGACCATGAAAGAGTTAATGACATGAGAGTTAGGTGAAAAAAAATATTCTGCACTGCCTCCCTTCTATTAGTGCTCTAAGCATGTACTTGTTTTGCTGGATGGTTAATCCAGGCCTGGACTTAGCTGGTTCCTTTATCTCCTATCAAGCCTTCACTGATGATATCAATGCCTTAAATAATTGATGGAATATTTTCAGAGAGCTAAATCATACTGACATTTAACCTGTGCTCAGTTGCAGTGGGAAGGAAAACACAGTCATTTCTTTCTCTCATTTAAAACCTATGTACATTGACCACATTTTCTTAGAAAAAATAAGGGAGAAACGTGAAAAAGGGACAAATCTAAAAGAGGTTCATAAGGATTTTTAAAAATGTTAACTTTGTTTTACAAAGAAAAATTTAAGAGCAAAACTTTACAAAAGCATACATTCTTTTTTTAATTATACTGTTCAATCGTGTTCGGTTCTGAGGGACTTTCTGGATTGGTCCCTGTAGTTCTCGCGGCAAAGTGATTCACTTAATAACTGCGACAATAAAGGTCATAAAGTGGGACAAAACTCACTTAATAACTGTCTTGTTTAGCAATGGAAATTTTGGGCTCAATGATTCGATCATGTGTAAATTTATTTAGAAAGAAATATATGAAAGTGTCCATATTTTTCATGTGAATGTGAGAGACTGAATTAAATGGTAGTTTTGTATGATAAAAAGTTAAATGTCCAAACTAAGAGCGAATTTGAATTTTTGAAAAATAATCGGAAAGACTGCTTTCTGAAATAAAGGGCTGTCATTTATAATAAAGGATGTACCGGTAGTTATAGGCCACAAAATTGTTATGTGCCATTCTGTAGTTGTTGACATCAACACTTCAGTTAAGTTGACTACATTAGGAAAGGTGGAAAGGAAGGGGTATGATGAGAAAGCATGGGAAATATATACAAGACATTCATTCCAGTGGTGGGTTGCTATCGGTTCGCACCGGTTCAGGAGGACTGGTAGCGATAAATTGGCAAGGGTCGCAGAACCGGTATTAATTGCTGGCTGGCCACGCCCCCGAACCGGTCCCCACCCCACCCAGTCACTTTCTTTTCCTCCTTACCACCTGGGCGGCTTGCCTGCCTAAACTGCCTTCCCACGTGGTGCCTGCCTGCGCCCCAACTGAGCTGCCACCTCCTGCCTATAGGTAGGTTGTGCTACCCCTCCCCCCAGAGCATGCTGCGCCACCCCCACCGGGCTCACAACCTTACCTTCCCCGCCCCTTACAGGAGTCCCCCCCCCGTGCCCCGTTTTGGCTCCCAGGGGCTGCAGGGAGGCTTGCTAAGGCCAAAATGGGGCATGAGGGGGGTGCCTAGCAAGACTCCCTGCAGCCCCCTGGAAGCAAAAAATGGGCGGCGGGGGGGGGGGGCTTCAAGGGAGAAAGAAACAAAGAAATCCTCACTGTTTGGGGATCCCCACGTGCACTGAGCTTGAGTTGAGAGCTTATTGTAAGTGCCTGCACTAGCTATCCTTGCTCAGGCTAAGCTACAAAACGTTTCAAAATGTCTGGCTTTTCTTCCTCCTACCAAAGATCTTCTGGGGTTCTTCACAGGAAGGGAGAAAGGGAGGGAGAAAGAGAGAGAGAGAGAGAGAAAAGAAAGAAAGAGACAAAGAAAGAAAGAGAAAGAGAAAGAAAAAGGAAGGGAGAGAGAGAAAGAGAGAATGCAGGTAGCTCTTAACAGAGACTTGAACTTGCCTGAAATTAGATCAAGCCCTACATCACTTAACCCAATGTATCAGATTAAATTGTTATTGAATTATTTTTGGTATATATACTACATTCTCTTGTGTAATTTAGTTATAGTGTAAAACTAGTCTATTATGTCTCAAAATAAAAGGGAGATCAAAAATCCAATTAGTGCCATGTAAATTCTGGAATGCCCAAAGACTTTTCCCATTGTATTTATTAAACAAATTATATACAGTGACTTTATCACTTTCGTGTTCCTTTCATGTAGTTCTCAATGTGTCAATCTCCTTGCTACTCTATTTCCTCCACCAAAATTCTATTATAAATACTATTACCACACATTACAGCTCTAATTTTGTATATTTGTGCCAGTCATTTTCAGAAAAAGATTTATTCCTCTCTTACATAGTTATTTAGAAGTAGCTTCATATGTCAGTTTACTTTTACCATTAAAAAATGTTTTGTTGCATTATATAACTGCAAAAGCCTTTTAGCAGTTTAATTTAACAGGAAATATCCAGTAACAATTTTGAAAGTAGTTGTCATAGCCACAAACACCCTCCCCCCAAAAAGACAGAGAAAGAGAAAGAAAGAAAGAGGAAGGAAGAGAAAGAAAAAAACTCTGTGCTATTATTTTTAATTGTTCCATTATTTATCATGTGTTAATATTTTACACTGTCCCTACATCTAGAATGATTTTACTGCCTTTCTTTTGCCCAGAGTTACCACATATTTTTCAGGGATTTACATGCATTCAATGTCTATAGTCCAGAGCATAAATATGTGTGTGTTTATTTTGTACATCAGGTTGCATAAGTCCATCTTAATATGCTATCCCTGGTATGTGATGTTTTGTATACATACAGAGAAAGAAGCACTCTTGTCATCTTTGACTTTTACGCTTGCTGTCAAACATCAGCCATAATACTAATTACTGTTTTGAACAATATGCACGAATGGCTATTTTATATGTGAAATATTTCTGCACCTATATTGGTTCTCACTGTCAGGAAGTTTCTTCATAGTTTTAGGAGAAAAATTAACTTCTCTCTTTGTTCAGTTTCCATCTATTGCTTCTTGTTTTGCCTTCTGGTGCTTTGGAAAATACATTGCCTATACATTCTTTCTGGCAGCCCCTTAAAAACCTGTTGCCTACCACACTCTTGGGCAAAGCTTGTGAGCCATTTCCTCCTTTCAGTGGTCCATGAAAGTACATCTATAGTATGTAGATGATAAAGTTGAAAAAAGGTGAACAACATTTTTACAGAACTATAGATACGTTGAGGCTGTGTGTGACAAGGAATGGCTGGGAGGGGAGGGGCCAGGCGAAGGACCCCTTGATGTGAGTGACATTGAGTTGGCCATGCCCACCCAGTCACATGACCATGAAGCCACTCCCACTGTCACATGTAGTAAAAAATTTTAGAACCCATCCCTGATTCATTCATTCATTCATTCATTCATTCATTCATTCATTCATTCATTCATAGGCTCTATATAGCTGACCATCTCACAATGGGCCATGATTCTGGGCAGCAGCATGCAAAGTTAACACATATTAATTCCAATTAATAAACAAACATCCAAAGTTACAAATAACTATCCTAATGTACAGGAAAACAGTATCTTTTGATAAGATAAAAGACTGGTGGATTGTTAGTCTCCCTAAACATCATATACTTTTAAAAACTGATTATAATTATTTGTGCCTTCTAGTCATGGGAAGTCAAGGTGTTTCTCGATTAAATTGTATTTCAAGTATGAGAAGTTCCAACAAAACTACAAAATACTAATCCAAGCATTACAATGAATGTAATGTTTGATCTTCCCAGTAATAGGAAATGTAAATCCCAGTGAGCAGCGTGATGTTTAGTTTTGAATAAGGCACCTGCTACACTTGTTCTGGGAGGCCTGAAGTACTAAATTGACTGCCATGAAAATAATGCAAATAATGGATTTCCCCCCCCCCTTGTGAACAGGCTTAGATATTAGCCACTGAAGACCAGAACAGCAGAGGAAAGTATTAAGCAAATGTGTTTTAAAGTAACCATGGCAAGATGCTTGGCATGCATAGCTATCATTCCTCGGGAGTTATTTGTGCTTGTTAATGTCTGCTGGATAGTACATGAAAGCCAGATGTGGCACCTCAAACTGCCTTCCTTTATCTCCATCAGGTCTCGGTCTCCACTTGACCAGCTGATCATTGTCCAAGCCAACTCACCACTAGAATTTCCAGTTCAAGGTGTAGAAGTTCTCCCTCTCCAGACCATTCTTATTCCAGGCAAGCCTTTTATTTTCTCTGCATGTCAAAAGAAGCAAAAAGAGAGAGGGAAGAATCTGTCTTTCACCATGGAAGAGTGTGTGATGAATATAATGGCAGGTGGAATGGCAAAAATGTCTCACCTCCCTGTGTCTTTTTCCCCATAGGCTTGGGCTTACAAGCAGCTGAAAGAACATTATACCAGGTAAGATAGCAATAGCAATAACACTTAGACTTATATACCACTTATATACCACTTCACCGTGCTTTACAGCCCTCTCTAAGTGGTTTACAGAGTCAGCATATATGCCCCCAATAATCTGGGTCCCATTTTAGTGGCTTCGGAAGGATGAAAGGCTGAGTCAACCTTCAGTCGGTCAGGATCAAACTGCTGACAGTCGGCAGAATTAGCCTGCAATACTGCATTCTAACCACATGAACCGTAGCAAGAAATGAAGGTTGCTTTATGAGGGCATAACCCTTTGGCCTGCACTTTGAATGTTTCCTCTTTTAAAACAGGCCCAACAAGCATGTTTTATGCATGGAAATACTTGGGTGCTCTGCTTAGATGCCAGCGTAACCTGAATAGATTTCTAAAGTGTAGGGTTGACATAAGAAGAGCAGTAGAAAAAGAATGTATTGAAAAGCATGTATGTTGCTTGTTTACTAAAAGTACACAAATCTGGGTTGCTCGAATACCGTTTTGAAAATATATTGAATTGAAAATGAAAACAACAATGGAGTGGGAATGGAGAGAGGAGTAGAGGGACGGACAGGAGAGGAGAAGAGAGGAAAGGAGAGAGAGGGACAGAAAAGAGGGAAAAAGAGAGGAAGAAAGGGAGGGGAAATAAGAGTAGGAGAGAGGGTTAGAAAGGGAGGAAGGGGGGAGGAGTGGGGGAAGGGAAGGGGAAGGAGAGGAGGAAAGAAGAAAGTAGAAAGGGATAGAAGAAGGAAGGGAAGAAGGAGAGGAAAAGTTGTTGTAAAATAAAGGAGAAGAAATGGTAGAAGAGCCCAAATATACCCTAATATTTTAGGATGAAGAATGAACTATAATATGAAAGTTAAAAGATAATATGTATGATTAACAATGGATAAGAGACTGTACATTTAAATATGTTTATGAGAAATAAAAACAAAAAATTCTTTAAAAAACCTAAAAGTACACAAAAGGGTGTAGGGGTTTTTTGTGGAGAGGGTTAAAAGGAACAGAGCATTCCAATATGTGTGTAGACTCCCATCCGAAAGGCCAGGAGAAACCGATTGCCTAATTTTGATAGGTCAGGATGAAAGGTACTTTTTTTTTTTTAGTGAAAAAATTTGCCATACGTAAGGATATGATTTTTAATCAGACCTTCTTCCCCTGACCCTTACATTCTTTTTTTTTCTCCCCTGGTTATTTATTCTTCTGGCAGGTCACCTTGACAGCAACAATGGGTACTTTTGATGTGGCTGCGGAGGTAGAAGGCGTCAAAGTGGAAGGGGAAGGACGCATGCACCTCTCCCTGTCCGGATCCCAGCTGGACAATCTAAACCGGCAAATGCAGTTTGTCACCTACACCAACACCCTCTACCATCCTAATACAGCAGATATAGGTGGGTACAGGGTCAATCATTACCACTGCAAATATCAGTAGTCCAGCAATAAACCGTGGGGCAAGCCACTGGAGGGGAACTGTAATAGCAATAGCACTTAGACTTATATACTGCTTCATAGTGCTTCACAGCCCCCTCTAAGCGGCTTACAGAGTCAGCCTATTGCCCCCAACAATCGGGATCCTCATTTTACTCACCTTGGAAGGATGGAAGGCTGAGTCAACCTTGAGCAGCTCAGGATCGAACTGCTGCACTGCTGGCAGTCAGCAGTCAACAGAATTAGCCTGCAGTACTGCGTTCTAACCACTGCGCCACTACGGATCATGAGCATCACTGTGACAAATGAGGGCAAATTGAAAAGGAAGTTGCTGAAGGTGGGGAGAGAAACCAACACTTTGAGGCATGCCAGTTCTTCCGATGTTTCCCCCTCAGGTGTATTCATTGTCAGTCCTTCACTTGAGGAGCCTCCATCTTAATATACATAGTACGGGACTATTGTGGTAAAGGTAGAATTCTTCTTTGAAGCAAACTTCACTAGATGGACAGATCTATGTTGTTTTCTGGGCAAAAATGTGTCTACTATCATATTATTTCTAGGCAATCATATGGTTTGCCATGACTTTCTCCCTAGATGTTATTTTAACTTTACCGATGGATTCCACCAGTTCAAGGGTGAAAGAAAAAAATGTGAACTATCAGCCATCCAGCATTCAAATCTTGCTCTGCTGATGAATAATTTTTGCTCTAGTGGTTAAGGCACCAAACTAGAAATCAGGAAACCATGAGTTCTAATCCTGCCTTGGACATGGAAGTCAGCTTGGTGATTTGGACTACTCACTCTCAGCTCAACCCACTTCACAGGGTTTTTGTTGTGGGGAAAATAGGAGTACTGTGTGTGTTTGCTACCTAGAGTTATTTATAAAAATAATAAAATAATAAAGGTAGAATAAAGATAATCTAGGTAAAGGTGTAGGTTTCCCCTGTCCAGTCATATCAGACTCTAGGCCACAGTGCTCATCTTTGTTTCTTATTTGGGAGAGCCAGTTTTGTCTGAAGACATTCCTGTGGTCATGTAGCCACCATGACTATACACTGAGGGGCATGGAACGCTGTTACTTTCCCACCAAAGTGGTACCTATTTATCTACTTGCATGCTTTCGAACTGCTAGGTTAGCAGGAGCTGGGGCAAGAACAGGAGCTCGCCCTATTGCGCAGAACACGGGCTCAAACGGGGTTGTCAGGTCTCCAGCTGACAAGCTCAGCATCTTTAACCGCTGAGACCTCATGCCTCCCCAAAATAATCTATAGATAGATAGATAGATAGATAGATAGATAGATAGATAGATAGATAGATAGACAGATAGACAGACAGATAGACAGACAGACAGACAGACAGACAGACCTTAAGACATCTCTTTGGCTTCCATCTTTTTTTTTTATTTGATTTATATGCCGCCCTTCTCCGGAGACTCAGGGCGGCTTACAATGCGTTAAGCAATAGCCTTCATACTTTTGTATATTTATACAAAGTCAGCTTATTGCCCCCACAAACTTGGTCCTCAATTTACCCATCTTAGAAAGAATGGAAGGCTGAGTTGACCTTGAGCCTGGTAAGAATTGAACTCTCAGTAATTGCAGGCAGCTGGATGTTAAATGCTGCTTTAGGAGGCATTAGCCTCCTACGCCACTCAGGCTCTTTTTAATCTTAATTTTGTTGCAGTTTGAGCAGTTCCCGTTGCGATCTTAATCTATTCAATTCAGGGCGGCAGGACGTTCTGTCTTTTCCTCTTGAGTAAAGCTTGAATAATAGAGAAAGCAGTAATGAAATCCTCTTTTGCTGCCCTGAAGGTTCTCCAAAGTTTCACTATCCCAATTCTGCAAAAACATGCTGAATATTGCTAGTGCTGTTGGTGGGAAGGTTTTTTTTTTTTTTTTTAAAAAAGAAGTGATTAGGTCTTTCATAAGCTTAGCAACTGATAGAACAAAACAACATCTCTCTAAAATGTCAAAGACTTGATTGAGGTGGAGATCCTTTCCAATCCCACATAGCTAATCAACTTCCTCTTAAATTGGAAAGTAGAACATGGGTTTTGGAGATGTAGAAGGCTGTTATCTGCTTTCTTGAAACTTGTGGCTTTTTAGGATTTTGTTCAAGCTTTTCATAGAAATAGCACATTCAAGGCCCATGTGAAATGGGAGGGAAAGAAATTCCAGGAAGATGACTAACAAGAACAATATTCTCATAGAGGTAATCCTCGTTTTATAATCATTTCTTGTGATTCTTGTGAAGTTACGATGATTTGGGGGGAAAAGTGACTTATGACCTATTTTCACACTTACGACTGTTGCAGTAACCCCGTGGTCATGTGATTAAAATTCAGGTGCTTGGCAACTGACATGTATGCATAACAGCTGCCCTGTCCTGGGGTCCTGTGATCACCACCAGCTGGCTTCTGACAAGCAAAGTCAGTGAGGAAAGCCACAAGGATGAAATGCTACTGGTTTGCACCAGTTTGGGCGAACTAATAGTGATAAAAGCTACCGGTTCGGGAAAACTGGTAGTAAAAAAAAGCTACCGGTTCATCTGAACTGGTATTTCCAACGATCAGCTGTGCCGCGCAATTTACATTTGCTAGAAAGCAGGAAATCCTGCTTTCTAACGAATCTAAATCACACGGCACAGCTGTTCCCCCCCCTCGCTGTTCTACGTACCTTGTTAAGCCTCTTTTTTTTTTAAAAAAAAATTTTTTTTGATTTATATGCCACCCTTCTCCGGAGACTCAGGGCGGCTTACAATGTGCTCAGCAATAGCCTTCATCCTTTTGTATATTTATACAAAGTCAGCTTATTGCCCCCACACTGCCCCCCAACTGGGTCCTCAATTTACCTACCTTAGAAAGGATGGAAGGCTGAGTCAACCTTGAACCTTTTTTCCATGCGAAGCGCACGTTTGGCGTGCACTGTGTACGCGAGTACAGCATGTGTTTGGCATGCACTGCGCATGCGTGCAGAGTGTGTATTTGGTGCGCACTGTGCATGCGCAGGCAGCAAACTGGTGGCAATCCACGGAGGATTTCACCACAGGGAAGCCAGATTCGCTTAACAACCGTATGATTCACGTAACAACTGCAGTGGTTCGCTTAACAACTGTGGCAAGAAAGGGTGTAAATGGGGCAAAACTCACTTAACAACTTAGCCATGGAAGTTTGGGATTCAATTGTGATCTTAAATCGAGGATTACCTGTACTCTCACAAAGAGCAGGGAAATCTACTTAGACTTTAGCAAAGCATTCGACAAAGTAGACCACAACCTACTTCTTGGTAAGGTAAAAAAAAAAAGTGGGATAGATAGCATCACCATCAGATGGATTTGTAACTGGCTGACAAACCATACTCAACAAGTAGTCCTTAATGGTGCTACATCTACATGGAGGGAAGTAAGCAGTGGGGTACCACAAGGTTCTGTCTTAGGCCCAGTACTCTTCAATATCTTCATAAACGACTTAGATGAGGGAATAAAAGGGGAACTGACCAAATTTCCGGATGATACTAAACTGGCAAGAAGACCCAACACCCTAGATCAGTGTTGGCAAAACTTTTCAGCACCAAGTGCTGAAATAGGAGCGCAGGTGTCAGAAACCAGAAAAGCAGATAATCTTCCGGTTTCTAGCACGCATATGCGCGCAAAGACCAGATGTCTGGTTCTCATGCGCTGGCTCTGCCTGGCCTTTTGGGGATCTTCATGCCTCCCTGCCTGCCTCCCTGCCTGCCCCCCTGGTTCCCGTCAGGGTGGTGGGACATCTCCACTGACGACCTGGTTCAACACCCCCGGACAGGGAGAGAAAGTTGGGCGGGGAATGCCGCCTCTCTCCGCTGGAAAGCCAGAAACCCCTTCCTGGCCTCGGAGGTAAGTGGCGTTGGCGTTCCCGTAGCTTAGGTTGGGGGGCAGCAGGTGGGAGGGCTTCGCCCCAACTCTGGCTGGGATGAAGGGCGCCCACCCAGCCCACCACTGAGAACAAGCCAGTGCAGCCCTCCCTTCCCGGCCACTTCCCAGCCAGTGCATCTCTTACACTTCAGCAGCATCACCATGCTGTGCTCTCCTCTGGCCCTTCTGGGGCAGCTCAGCTCCCTGACGGTGGCTCCTCCTTTTCTCCTGGCTGCTCCATCATCTTGGCCGGAACAGCAGCGCGAGAACCGCTGCCACCCCCTTGTAGTGGCAGGAGTAGAGAGTGGGGCGGTCGTGCACCCGAGCTAGCGAGGCACTCCAGACCACAGACGCATGTCAATGCCATGGGCTGGAGGGCTGGGGCTGCGCAAGAAGCAGACTCAGGCAGGGAGGGAAGGAAGCCCTGGCTCACCCATCCTGGCTGGTAGCACTGCTCCCCTTGCTCTTCCGGGTTCTGGCTCACCGGCCACCTGGTCTTCACACATGCGGGAGGGCCAGAAACTGAAAGGGGAAGATGATGTTCCAGTTTCCAGTATGCACATGGGCACTGGGCAGCTGGTCTTCACGCATACATGCACGCCAGAAACCGGAAGATCAGGTGCACCGGAAACCGGAAGAGCAATGGGCGATGGCTCCACGTGCCCAGAGAGATGGCTTGGCATGCCACTTCCGGCACACGAGCCATAGGTTCGCCATCATGGCCCTAGATGATAGGCTCAAGATCCAGATGGATCTTGACAGACTTGAACACTGGGCCCTATCTAACAAAAAGAAATTCAATGTAGAGAAAAGTAAAGCCTTACACTTAGGCAAGAAAAACCAAAAGTACACATATAGACTGGGTGAAACCAGGCTTAATAGCAATAACTGTGAGAGGGATCATGGAGTCTTAGTGGACAACCAATGAAATATGAGCTACCAGTGTGCAGTGGCAGCCAAAAAAGCCAATGCAATCCTAAATTGCATTAATAGAGGGATACAATCAAGATCAAGTGAGGTACTAATACCAATACTGCATCTAGTTTTTGTCACCATTGTATAAAAAAGATGTTGAGACTCTAGAAAGAGTGCAGAGAAGAGCAGCCAAGATGATTAAAGGACTGGAGGTTAAAACATACGATGAACGGTTGCAGGAACTGGGCATGGCTAGTCTAGGGAAGAGAAGGACCAGGGGAGACATGATAGCAGTGTTCCAATATTTGAGAGGCTGCCACAGAGAGGAGGGGGGGTCAAGCTATTTTCCAAAGCACCTGAAGGTCAGACAAGGAATAATGATTGGAAACTGAACAAGGAGAGATTCAACCTAGAAATAAGGAGAAATTTTCTGACAGTGAGAGCAATCAACCAATGGAACAGCTTGCCTTCAGAAGTTGTGGGAGCTTCATCATTGGAAGCTTTCAAGAAGAGATTGGACTGCCGTCTGTCAGAAATGGTATAGGGCGCTGCTTGGGCGCTGCTTGGGCGGTGGAGGAGAGTTGGACTAGATGACCTACAAGGTCGTCTCTGTTAATCTGTTAAATAATAAAGTGGTTTTCCACCTGATTTATGTGTAGAACTGGAATGAATATGACAGGATTTTGTTTTTCTGAGCAAAGATGCAGATCTGGTTTTTTTTCCGGTGCTTTCCCAGTGGAAAAAATTGCTATGTTAACTGAATAACTGTTCCCTTTTCCTTGGTAAAGCTTTTTGTCCAAGAGAATTCCCACTCTGTTGGATTTTTGGCATACCAGAGAAATAGTCAGCAGTTCTGCAGAATTAAGCTATTCTTCCCGTCTCTTGGCAGGCGTTTTACTGCGAGGGGGAGGAGGATGTTAGGCCTTGTGCTGTAGATTTCCTTCTGTTTTATGGCCTTTAGCTGTTTTGAAAGGAGGCACTCTGCCGCCTAACGCCCGCCTTGTCCTTCTCTGGCAAAGCCCTCACTGGAAGAACAGAAGGAATGTGCTGAGAATGATCCTTTCAAACCCAGGCATTGCCTCTCAGCAATCCTTCAGGTTTTTACTCCCAGATCTGTCTTCCATCTTGATCCTTCTAAGTCAAGTCACTATCTAGGAAAGAGAACAGAGGGACTTGTGGTAGCATACGACACAGCAATTTGTTCGAAAACCCTCACAGGATCCGCTCCTGTAGTAACAGATCAATGGCCCATCTAGATCAGCTTATTCCATCGTGGGACCAAAAGATTCTCTCCACAGAAGTAACAATTACTACAGTAAGAGCCGTGGGGACGCAGTGGTTAGAATGCAGTACTGCAGGCTAATTCTGCTGCCTGCTGGCTGCCTGCAATTCGGCAGTTCGAGTCTCACCAGTTCAAAGTTGACTCAGCCTTCCATCCTTCCGAGGTGGGTAAAAGAGGACCCAGAATGTTGGGGGGCAATAGGCTGACTCTGTAAACCGCTTAGAGAGGGCTGTAAAAGCACTATGAAGCAGTATATAAGTCTAAGTGCTATTGCTATTCATCTGAGAATGGCACCTGGGCTTTGTGACTAATAGTCACCAATACCCTAATCCCCCTTTTGCTAATTCTGTTATGTTGTCTTCGACTTACAACAATTTGCTTACTGACTGTTCGAAGTTACAACAGCACTGAAAAAAGTTCTTATGACCATTTTTCACATTTACGGCCATTGCAGCATCTCCATAGTCACATGGTCACATGATTTACATGGATGCTTGACAATTGATTTGCAGTGTTCCGGGGGGGGGGGGAGGGAGTCATGCGATCACCTTCTGCAACCTTCTGACAAGCAAAGTCTATGGGGAAATCAGATTCACTTAACATCCGCGTTACCAATTGAACAACTGCAGTGATTCGCTTAACAAAGGTGGCAAGAAAAGTCGTAAAATGGGGCAAGGCTCACTTAACAAATGTCTCACTTAGCAACATATGTTTGGGGCTCAATTGTAGTCGTAAGTTGAGGACTACCTCAGTGGTGGGTTGCTCCCGGTTCGGTCCGGTTCTTGCGAACCGGTAGTAAAAGCGGTGAGAGGCTCCGCCCGGACGTCATCATGCACATGCGCAGAAGTGTGCGCACTCCCATTGCGAACCGGTAGTAAAGGTAAGTAGAACCCACCCCTGGACTACCTGTAAAGCCATCTAAGTTAGTAAAGGCTTAGATGGCTTTACAGGACTACCTGTAAAGCCATCTAAGCTTACATCTTGAGGCAGCAAAGCTATAAGTGTTTAGGAGAACAACCTTATGTTGATCTGAAGTTTCCCATCTCTTAACTTTGCTAAGTTGTAACCTCGCAAGAGTTGAAAATATGCCCTACATAGTGCATAATGTTAGGCAAGATTAAAGCATTACATACAATGCCCATGTTTGTACAATGCTGAGCTGGAATTTTAAACTATACAGTATGACCACAATTGAGCCCAAAGTTTCTGTTGCTAAGTGAAAAATGTCACTCAGCCTGTTGTCCTCCTGATACGCTAACCTGTCATTTCAGCATAAGAAATGATGGGCATGGAAGTCCAACTTATCTAAAGGGCACCAGGATAGGAAAGTCACATCCAAGACTAGTATTTGGTTTCTTCCTCTGTTTTCCAGTGCAGTTTTCTACTGATGAGCATCGTGCATCTTTCAGCATTCGCATCCGACATAGACCTACTCCCAAGCTCTACTATCCAGGATCATCCAGGGGAGGAGCTAGTGAAGGTGAGCGCACCCAATGGATAGCAATAGTTGTCCAAGATTTCATGTGGAAAGTATATCCCTGCTGGATCTCACCTGAGAATTTGGAAAATGGATATGTGCAGGTGGAATCAGGTATGCTCATCCCTTTCCAAGTCCACTTTCTCCAGGGTTATGCTGTGGTCTTTTAAAACAGGCCAAAAGAGAAATCAGAAAAATGAGGGCTCCTTTGTACTCTCGGAGATTGGTTGTTTTCTTGCAAATGTCTTATTACCCAAATTAAGTAATATCACAGTTAGCACTGATTATGTTACCTAGTTTGGTAATGAAACGTCTGCAAAAAGGTAGGTAAAATGAGGACCCAGATTGTGGGGGCAATAAGCTGATTTTGTATAAATATATAAAAGTATGAAGGCTATTGCTTAACGCATTGTAAGCCGCCCTGAGTCTCCGGAGAAGGGCGGCATATAAAACAAAACAAAACAAAACAAAACAAAACAAAACAAAACAAAACAAAACAAAACAAAACCCACAACCAAGCTCAGAGAGCACCAAGGACCCCTCATTTCAACTCTGAGCTATAAATATTTTCCTTTATTGAAAGTGCCCAGAGAGGCTTGCCTCTACCCATTGCCATTCCAGGCACCCATTTGTAGGCACTTATTAGCAAACTGAGTATAGTAAAGGATATTGTGTTTAGGATGAGAGCTTTCCAAAGTATTTCTTGCTCTCTAGCACCCAGTCTAAACAATGCACCAGAGGAAGATTGTGGTGCCTTGCTCGGCTTTTGGCGGAACAATCTTTCCAGGAGCTAAGTGGCATCTGGAGTGTCCTTGCTATTGTTATTATTCATCACTAACTATTAATTGCTTGAGCTTTTGTGATTTATGTATTTATGTATTTTATTTATTATCAGATTTTGGTACTACTTCAGCCAGAACATTCTAAGCAGCTTATGATCTGCCTGTTGTAAGAAAGGTGGAATTATGAAAAGCGTAAGGCGCAGCAAAATTAACTGGGAAGAGGTAGTCCATCTTTCTTTTAGTCTGAGAAATGAACATGGTGAAGAGTGCAATTTTTGCTCACTTCTTAGACATCCTGCCAAATCCTCCTTCAGCCGAACCTTCTTGCTAACTTTTCCGTTTTGTCTCTCCCCAGGAACCTACAACATCAGCGCCCTGGTCACCATAGCTACCAAAACCTTCTTACGCTATGACAAACTGCGAGTGTTGATTGACAGCATCCGCAAGTTCTACCCCACTGTGACCATCATCATTGCAGATGATAGCCAGGATATCGAACACATAAAGGGACCTCACATTGAGCAGTACTTCATGCCCTTTGGCAAGGTGGGAGATGTTCTAGGGCAGGGGTGTCAAATTCAAGGCCCGGGGGCTGGATTTGGCCCATGGGATGCTTAGATCTGGCCCACGGGGCCACCCTGGAAACAGTGAAGGACCAGGCCGTGGTGCCTCTGCTAGTGAAAACGGAGCTCAGGAGGGCCGCAGATGGCCCTCCCGAGCTTTGTTTTTGCTGGCAGAGGGTTGCAGGAGGCCATCGCAGCCAAAAACACAGCTCGGGAGCCTGTTTTTGCTGGTAGAGCGCTTGGGCCACCAAAGGCACCCCTGACACGAATGATGTTGAGCTGGCCATGCCCAGCCTGGCCACGCACAGCCTGGCCCCCCAAGGTCAAACACAACCCTGATGTGGCCCTCAATGAAATCGAGTTTGATACCCCTGTTCTAGGGGAGTCCTCCGGCCTAGCCTAGGCCAGGTTCTTAAGAGCAGTGTAAGTTTGGGAAGGATTTCATCCCAGAGGTTTGGTGAGTAAGGAAAGGGCTTAAGGAACCTCTGCTAAAAAGAGGTCACTCCATTGCCTTCTTGTGCTGGGAAATATTTTTGTGATGTGGAATTTGTTACCATGGATTGAACAGGATTTTTTTTTTCCAAATTTACTGATGATCAAAGTTAGGATGAGTAAGAAACTGAATTTCCCACCCACCCTTTTCAGTATAGATTCATGCATATTTCTAGTCATACAAGAGCAGTTCACTGAGTTGATTTCTCAGGAGGTTCCTGAAAGCGAAGCGTGGAAAATTTGACAATTGTGTAGCTGAAGAGATCCAGACCCCTGAGTCTATGATAAAATTTGCCTTGTATTTGTAGGACAAAGATCAAGGCCGAACTGGTTAAGACCATATTATGGAGTCCTTGGTGCTCTCTGAGCTTGGTTTTCTTATTTTTTTGCATTATCCAATATCTTCATTGCTAAAAAGGGGTGGGATTCATATTGAACCGGGATATGGGCGAAAGGAAGGTGATAGGTAGGAGTCTCATGTGGATTGCAGGAGTAAATCTGGAGCTCCGTAGAAATTTATTTAGTTATTCAGTTGACGATACAAAGTTGAAACAGATGATACTGATCAGAGTGCTTTGAAAAGGTTGACAGACAGAACTCAGGATTATAAAATCATTGTTAAGGCACAGGTGCCAAAGTTTGAGGTACAAAATGATAAGGAAACAATTTTCAGTGCTTTGTGGCCAAGCAAGAGGAGCTAGTGACAGTCCAGTTATTTGGCAAAAGGATTGTCAGTAGCGATCCTCATAAATAGCCTTTTCTGTCCATTTCTGCACAATCTAAAAAATTTTTTTAATTACATCTTCTATATTGACGTTAAAGATAAAAGAAAGGGAGAGAGGAATGGAAGAAAGGGGAAAGGAGAGGAAGAAAGGATAGGGAAAAGAGTAGGAGAGAAGGCTAGAAAGGGGGAAAAGGGGAGGAGTGGGAGAAAGGAAGGGGAAGTAGGGAAGACGAAGAAGAGGAAGGAAGGAAGAAAGTAGGAGAGGAGAGGAGGTAGAGAAGGGAAAGAAAGAAGAAGGAGAAGAAGGTTTGTTGTAAAATGAGGGAAAAGAAAGGGTAGAAGAGCAACCCGAATGTAACTAAAATGTCTTATTTTTATGCTTTCTTTAGAAAAATATGTATATGTATGATCAATTATGGATAGAAGAATGTACATTTACAATATGTGTATAAGAATTTTTTTTTTCAAAAGAAAATAAAAGAAAGGGAAGATACAGAGTATTTTCAAACACGGGATTTGTTTTACAAATGGTTGCATGACACAGTTAGACATTAGGAGTTAGAAAAGTATTATTATATAAGCAAATTGACCCAGACAAATACACTATTCACCAAGCACTTGTGCGTGTAAACTGAAAATGTATTAATAACCTGATAAATAGCCTTTTCAATCTTCTTTTTTTTCCTCTCTACCCTAACTTTCTAGGGCTGGTTTGCTGGTAGGAATCTTGCCGTCTCCCAGGTGACCACCAAGTATGTTCTGTGGGTGGATGATGACTTCATTTTCACAACCCGCACCAAAGTGGAAAAGCTTGTAGATATCCTTGAGAAAACTTCCCTGGATTTGGTGAGTTCCTGCCCCGTGATTGCTTTTCCTGGCTCTGGATCGTTTATTTCACCATGCTGTCTGGGAGTTAAAGATCTCATAGTTGGTTTAGAAACGTGAAGGCAGACTTAGTCCGTGGCTGTGATTTGAACATCTTTGTATCCCATAAGATGAAGTGAATCAATTTTGAGTTGATAAAGAGACTAAAAAAAGGGGCTCATTCCTTTCTTAAATTTGCAAAAGTCTATCACACATTATTTTTGGATGTAGCGTTGCTTAAATCTCTAGTTCTTGATTGTGGCTTAAATTGTTGAAAGGTATACATACTGATTTAAATAAATCAATATTTCACTAAACCTGTTATAGCCACCTACTCCAGCAGATTCTAGGCAGCTTACAAAATCTAAGTTAAAATAACTAAAAACATAACGAGATCAGAAGACCTCTCACTCCTACCTATTCTGTTCATCTCTTGGTTCTGGTTTCAGAATAGTTTTGAAATCATAACCTATGTAGTTTTTAACGTTTTAATTATTTTTGACTTATTTTATAACTTCTTTTTTTTTTTTTTTGAATCACATATTGTTTATCAGGAAATATTTACAGATGCTGTAAATTGAAGATATATAACACTTCACTGGTACAATGTATTTTTTTTATTTTTTTTATTTTATTAACATACATAAATCATAATATATAATATATAACAATATACACAATACAAACGATCAACGAGTGCTCCCCCACCCCTCGGGATCATTCCTGCTTCCAAAATCTTAAAGCTTCTTCTGGTGGTGGCATCCCCCTTCCTCCAGAAAACACATATATTAGGAACTGTTTCCAGATTCCATTGAATTCATTTACTTTCATTATGCCCCTCCTTACTTTAATATTACAAGTCAGTTTATCATTTATGGCAATATCCCATACTTCCTTATACCATTTTTCCAAACAATAATCACCTCGTGTCTTCCAGTTCCTAGAAATCATTAACCTTGCTGCGGTCAACAAATTTGTTATCAACTCTTTAGTCTCTTTTTTACACTTTATATCTTCCAATAGTGAGAGTAATGCTACCTTTGGTGCCTCTTCTACCTTTATTCCTACAATTTCTTCAATCTCCTTAAACACCATCTTCCACAATTTTTGCACAAATTTACAATCCCACCACATATGTAAATACGTTCCTTTTTCCCCGCAACCTCTCCAACAGTTATCTGAATAGTTCTGATTCATATTGCTTAATCTAACCGGAGTTAAGTACCACCTCCATACCATTTTATAATAATTCTCTTTTATTCTTACTGACAGATTTCTCAACACTCTTTGTTGCCAGATCCTTTCCCAACTCTGTTGCCCTATTTGTATCTTCAAATCGATTTCCCATACCATCTTTCCTAAATTTTCCCTTTCCTCTTCCTCCAACAATATTTTATAAATTCCACTCATTAAGCCTTTTATCCCTTTATTTTCTTCCTTTACAGTTTCATTTTTTTCAATTAATTCCTCGAACCTCGTTAACTTTCTACACTCTCCATTTTCTCTTATCCAGTTTTTAGTCCATTGTTCCACTTGGCTGTAATTTAACCAAGACAACGTTTTCCTCCTAGAACCTCTTCCAATTCCCCACGTGTCCTCATTCCTCCTAACCATTCCCTTAGTTTCATTTTATTTTTCTCTTTTAAAATTTTATTCACTTTATTCTTCAAATTATTATTATTATTATTATTATTATTATTATTATTATTATTATTATTAATTAATTAATTAAATTTCTATACCGCCCTTCTCCAAATAGGACTCAGGGCGGTGCACAGCCAAGGTAAAAACAGAGCATACAAAATTTAAAAACAGTATTAAAATAATTAAATATTTGGCTGTGAATTAAAACAACCCAATTTAAAATCAATTTAAAATTTAACTCAAGCCAGCCCAGCTAGTTGAAATAAATAGGTTTTCAGGGCCCGACGAAAAATCCGGAGGTCTGTTATTGTACGTAACTCTGGGGGAAGGTTGTTCCAGAGGGTGGGCGCCGTCACAGAGAAGGCTCTCCCCCTGGGGGTCGCCAGCCGACATTGTCTGGCGGACGGCACCCTGAGGAGGCCCACTCTGTGCGAGCGTACTGGCCGGTGGGAGGCTATTGGTGGCAGAAGGCGGTCTCGTAAGTACCCCGGCCCTAAGCCATGGAGCGCTTTAAAGGTGGTCACCAACACTTTGAAGCGCACCCGGAAGACCACCAGAAGCCAGTGCAGCTCGCGCAGGAGAGGTGTCACATGGGAGCACCTCGTCGCCCCCATAATCCCCCGCGCGGCCGCGTTCTGGACCAGCTGGAGTCTCCGGGTGCACCCCAGGGGGAGCCCCATGTAGAGAGCGTTGCAGTTCCCTTCTAACTTCTTTTATAACTTCCCTTTTACAACTTCTAAGCCACTCAGAGTCACCTTGTAGGGGAGAGAGGTGGCATAAACATTTAATAAATAAATAAAAGCGAAACAAAAATGGGCATTAAAACAAAATTAAAAAGGTAAGAGTAATGAAATAACCTTCCCCCAAGAAATCTCCCCCCACCCCCCGGTCGCAGATCGAACCCACTTCACATGCACATACAGGTGCTGACCATCCAACCCAGTGGTGGGATTCAAATTTTTTTACTACCGGTTCTGTGGGTGTGGCTTGGTGGGTGTGGCATCGCTTGGTGGGTGTGGCTTGGTGGGCATGGCAGGGGAAGGATACTGTAAAATCTCCATTCCCTCCCCATTCCAAGGGAAGGTTACTGCAAAATCCCCATTCTCTCCTGATCAGCTGGGACTTGGGAGGCAGAGAAGAAATGGGGGCAGGGCCAGTCAGAGGTGGTATTTACTGGTTTTCTGAACTACTTAAAATTTCCACTACCGGTTCTCCAGAACTGAATCAGAACCTGCTGAAGAACACCTCTGATCCAACCTCAACATTATGGTTTGTTTTCCGCAGGTGGGTGGAGCCGTACGGGAGATTACAGGCTTTACCACCACATACCGCCAACGGATCAGCGTGCAGTCTGGTACTGAGGAGGGAGATTGCCTGCAAGTCCGCCAGGGCTATCACCACACCATTGAAGGTTTCCCTGATTGTGTAGTCACTGATGGAGTAATCAATTTCTTCTTGGCACATACAGAGAAGGTGTTGCAAGTTGGCTTTGACCCACGCCTCAACCGTGTTGGCCACCTTGGTGAGTGATGGTGCCAGCATGGGAGACCCTCAGGTTGAACCCGTGTCTAGAATAGAACATAGAATAGCTTTTGTTTCCTATATAGAAGATAATACAGGTAGTCCTCGACTTGCAACAGTTTGTTTAGTGACCATTCAAAGTTACAACAGCACTGAAAAAAGTGACTTATGACCATTTTTCACAGTTACGACTTTTCCAGCATCCCCAGGATCATGTGATCAAAATTCAGGCACTTAGCAACTGATTCATCCTTATGGCCATTGCTGTATCCCAAGGTCATGTGATCCACTTTTGCGACCTTCTGACATGCAAAGTCAATGGGGAAGCCAGATTCACTGAACTACCAGGTTACTAACTTATCAACTGCAGTGATTCACTTAACAACTGAGGGAAGCAAGGTGGTAAAATGGGGCAAAACGTACTTAACCGATGTCTCACTTAACAACAGAAATTTTGGGCTTAATTGTGGTTGTAAATCAAGGACCACCTGTAAGAGAATCCAAAGCACACAATCAATCAAAAGGGTGAACTTGGGTTTCCTTTTATGTTCGAATCCAGTGTTTCTCAACCTCCCACAAATTGAAGATGTGTGGACTTCAACTCAGTGTTGCCTGGAAAATTCTGGGAGTTCCACACAACTTAAAGTAGTTGAGTTTGAGAAACGTTGTAATCTTAACAGATGCTTGAGTCAGATTTGTGAGTGTCAACGGAATCTGCAGTAAGTTCTTATTTATTTCATTCGAAGTGTTAATTGGCCCATTACAACTTCTGCTCAACTCAACAGGAAGGTTCAAAAAAGCATGCACAGAAGGATTGTCTGTTGAAGAGTCATAGGCTTATGCTAATTTTTGTCCTTCGTTCTGGGTTGTTCTAACTGCAGAGTTCTTCATTGATGGCCTGGGTATTCTGCATGTCGGTTCCTGCTCCAATGTGGTGGTAGACCATGCCTCTAAGATCAAGCTACCGTGGCTAAAATCGGTAAATGAGAAGCAATATGCCAAGTTCCGCTATCCCAACTCGTCGGATGACTCACTGAACACCAAACAAAGCCTTTTCTACTTCAAGAACTATTTCAAATGTATGACAGGCAATTAGTCTTCAGTCAGAGGGTGCTGAGCCCCACCCTTGACAACTGGCTAAGTCCTCAGGTGAGTGGAGTCTCGGACAGCCTGCTCTGGCAGCTAGCCACAGCTCTTGGCAAACAAGCTTGCCCTGTCCACCAGCCAAACTCAGGGAAGCTTCTACATTCTCAGGCCTGAAGAGCAACTTGAGAAATGAACTTCACTCTGCTTAAAACAACAACCACAACAACAACTGTGTTGTAACAGAATTAATTGGACAAGCCATCTTCCAGACCTTGTTGATAAAAGGAGGATTTTGTCTGCTTGTCATTTTGTCATATTTTGCATCTGAACTGAACCATATTCCACGGGGAACGCTTCTGCAAGAGGCTGCCCCATGAAGTCTGGGTCTTTATCTGTCTCCTGGTTGAGGGCAGCCATCTTCCTCTATTACACCGAACTCCCTTTCTAAGTTTGGACTTGTGCTTACCTATAGGTCACGTCAAAAACTTGCAAACTCTGGCAATATCCCAGCATCCTTTACCTCCCTTTAACTTAAACCACAGAAGGGGACAGGATCAGAGGTGGATAAACCTGAAATTGGGGAGGGGGGGGGGCTTTCTCTAGCGTCACAATTTTTGTGCCAAGGTTTTCAAGTTGAGCCCCTCTGTCCCAGGCTCCCTCCAACCTCAAATGGGACATCGTTCTGGGATATTTGGAAGTGCCAAATGATGAAAAGCCACCGCCAGGGGGAAGCCTTGAGGTGTGCATTGCAACAGAGCAGCCTTGAAAAGCCACAGAACTCCTGGCTGCACTCCAGACTCAAGGTGCTCCCAGGTTTACAGCAAAAATGACCAGAAGTGCACGGACATTGGAGGGGGCAGCTTATTTTCTATGGGGATAACTTTTTTATATTGTGAAGTAGAAAGATTGTCCATGACAGATTGCCAATATTTTTTTTTTTTAATATTGACAGATTGCCAATATTTTTTTTAAATATTTTTTTTAAGAATCCACTTCCAAAACTTCTTCTCATTCCTTAAACTTCTCCATCCCAGGTCTGTGGCTTTTTAGTGCCAACCATGGAACCTTGTTACACCACTGCTTTTCCTAAAACTATTATTTATTAGGGAGGGTTTTTTTAAACAACAACACCACCACAAATCAGGGCTGGGAAAAGGTCCTACACAATAGTTCCATTGCATGGGGTTGGCTGATATCGTACGTAACCCAAGAGGCTGTAACCACTCAGGCACCATTCTTCCTTCTGCCTATGTGTGCCCTTCTTCCTGGCAGCTGGGCTGTCGATTTCATTAAGATAAAATTAGTTAAGTACCAGCCTCACAGGTTAAGGTACGGGTGCACTTTTAGCACAGGGAGTGACAAAAACCAGTGAAATATGGTAAATTTCAAAATCTCTGTAGCACGAGTGGTATAGGAATTCACACAGACTGATTCACAAAATTGTTTCTTGCTGCAAAAGGACAAATTCTTCTTTCCTCTGAGTTGCCCGATGAAAAAAAATGTAAAAATATTTGGGTAGGATACAGTTGTTGGACATAAGATAGGAATTGGGTATGGCTTAGAAGCCATAAGTACAGCAACAATCGTATTCATGCTCATATAGGAATAAGCTGTACTAAGCACAATAAGACTTTAAGTACGATTTTAATTGGAATTAAATCCTCCTCACACCACCAGAACAATGCAGTAATAAATTAAATACACTTAAAATGCTTTTTAAAAAGGACATTGCATTTTTACACACACACCCACACACACCCAAAGTAAGTAGGAAACAAATTCCATGTGATAATGAAATGGTTGCTCCCCCGCCTGAAATGCTAATTTTGATAAAAGTTCAAAAGCTTGTTTTGCTTATTTACATATTTACTGTTCAGGGATGGATGCATAATCAGCATGCAACTCTGAGCTGGTGCAGTCCAAGAAAACCTTAGCTATAGTAGTTGATGCTGCTGAAGGTGTAAAATGGGTCCTGTCCCTTTTGAGTAAGATGGAGATCTCCAGTTGCAAACACTAATCAATAACCTAATCCAAGGAGTGGTGTCTCAGTTCTGAGTGATCACAATAACCTGTGGGTTATCTGCAAATACTGTATACCCACCCACTAAAGAGAAACGCAAGCTGAGGAATATAGCTTGGGTCCTAGGGCAGGTATATACTGAATCCAAAATGTGAATCAATTCATTAACCATGTTTAGCATGTTGGCTGAACCTCTCTAGTGAATCAAAGGCTGTTAATGCATCTATACCCTTTGGTCCTACCGGTTCCACCAGCAATTCTGGTCTGAGAGGATCTCTCTGGCAAAGAAAAGGAAAAAGGAGATGCCCCAATATAAAAGAGTACTGTATTTTTCAGACTATAAGACGCACCGGAATATAAAACGCACCTTAGTTTTTGGGGAGGAAAATAAGAAAAAAGCTGATTGGGGGTGGATCGGCCTCCCGGAATACCCCCAATCAGCTGTTCCCAGAGGTGAATTTTAGCAACAGATTCTTTGGTTGTGAGCTCTGTGCCTTGCTTTTTTTTCAGCCTCTGAAACCTCCGTTTCAGAGGCTGGGCGGGGCTACATTTGGACTATAAGACACACCCAGATTTTCACCCTCTTTTTGGGGGTAAAAAGGTCCGTCTTATACTCCGAAAAATACGGTACTTTGACAAAATTGGACTTCATTTTATTTCTGGCAATCAAACTTTTCTGTAATCCCCATTGAGCATTCTTTCCTAGGCTCTTTTCCTTTTGGCTTCCATGGCTTATTCTGCAGTGACTTCAATTTTTTTTCCCCCCAGGAAAGTAATAAAGGGTTGTTTTTTAAAAATACAATTTTGTTTAGCTGCTGTGTTCTAATAATTTTCTGGTAACGGTTCAAGAAGAAAGGAACCAGGACAGGTGAGTGCACGAAGTAATCCTGACACTTCAGATGTGGACTCTGCAGGCCACGGAAGTTGTAGCAGGGGGAAGAACTGCTAAATCTAAGAGCCTAGCTCTTCTTGCCAGTCTGCTCTTTCCTTGACAGTCCATTCCTGACAAGCCAGCCTTCCAGTAGCAGGAGAAACGTGGTCTCGTTGGCAGCCTGCTGCCCTTTCCCAAATCTCTGTGGTCTCAGATGGCTTTGTCCTGGTAGATCTCATTGTCTTTTAACCTTGGCAGGAAGAAAAGTTATACCCAGATGGTGGGATCCTTCTGTTCCACGTTTTCCTGAGGAAAAACCAAATTGGAGTTATCCATGAGGCACTGTGCCATATAAAAAAACTACTGTAATACCTTCCCAGCTCACGTTACTTGTTAAGCTCTGTGCCTCAAGGGTGCTTTTTTCAAGAGGCAACTGAGCTCTTGAAAAAAGCACCTTTGGGACAACCATGACCTGGATGACTAAGAATCTCCATAGAGAACTCTGTGCCTCAGGCCTACTCAGGGAGTGCAGAGATTCCCTCCAGTCAGTGGATGCAATCCCTGCTAAGAGTAGCAGTTGGATTCTGAGGGTGATCTGAACTTTCTACATCTAGAAATAATGATTGTGGTACAGGTAGTCCTCGACTTAACAGCAGTTCATTTAGTGGCCATTCAAAATTAACAACGGCACTGAAAAAAGTGACTTATGCCCGTTTTTGACACTTACGCCCATTGTACACCATTGTAGCATCCCCGTGGTCACATGATCAAAATTCAGAAGTTTGCCAACTGGTTCATATTTATGACGGTCGCAGTGTCCCGGGATAGTGTGATCCCCTTTTGCAATCTTCTGACAAACAAAAGTCCATGGGGAAGCTGGATTCACTTAACAACCACGTCACTAACTTAACAAATGCAATGACTCACTTAATAACTGTGGCAAGAAATGTCATAAAACAGGGCAAAATTCACTTAACAAATGTTTCACTTACCAACAAAAATTTTGGGCTCAATTAGGGTCGTAACGTGAGGACTACCTGTACTTCTATATAGCTTTTGAAGGAGCAAATATGGCTAGTTCATCAGAACTGTGGGGTGGGGCAGTGGTGAAATGTAAAATTTGTTACTATCAGTTCTGTGGGCGTGGCTTGGTAGTGGTGGTGGTGTAATATGACTGAGTGGGCGTGGCCAACTTTTTTTTTTTTTTTTTACTCTTAAAACCATTTTTTCTACCGCTTCGGCTGAAGAGGTTGTAAAAAAATGCTTTTAAAGGCCTCTGAAGATCCGAGCTGACTTGCCTGATCCGCAGATGCTTTTTTTCCTTATAAAAACATTTTTTTATAACCTCTTCGGCAGAAGAGGTTGTAGAAAAAATGCTTTTAAAAGCCTCTGATGATCCCAGCTGAGCTGCGCGATCATCAGAGGCTTTTTTTTTACTTTTAAAAGCATTTTTTCGGCCAAAGAGGTTGTAGAAAAAAATGCTTTAAAATTTTTTTTTAAAATCTCTGATGATTGTGTGGCTCAGCTGGGCAATTGGGGGGGCGGGGGCAGAGATTTTTGCTACCGGTTCTCCAAACCACCCGCCTCCATCGCTACCGGATCGGATGATAAGACTCAGGCTAAATTGCTTGTATTTACAGATTTATCTCATGGGAGGAACACTAAATGACAGTGATGTCATTTTTGAGAGCTTTTGAGAGCTGGGCTACAGGTGCCCAGCCACGCTCCCCTTCCTCACCTATGCCCCCCCCCCAACAGCCTGAACAGAAACCAAGAGGAAAAGAGGCTTCCTTGTTTTCTCTGCTGACTCTCGGACCCTTACCGTGGCTTGCTGGAGGTAGGAAACAGCGTCATGAACAGTGACAAAAATCTGCTGAGGGGTGAGATGATGCATGAGGCCACAAAAACTCAGGGTCTGTAGGACGTTGGCTAAGTGGATAAGAAGAAAATAGAAGTCACTCAGATCTCATGCCACCTGTGGGGCTCAACAAGAGATGGCTTGCATGGGTACAGTTCCTTCACACTAGGGATGGTCCCTTCCTACCTCCACAACACAACAGAATCTGTACATGATCCTGATCCACAAATCATGGGATCTTGGAAAAAGTCCGATACTGTAATTACATGGGTGAGTAAACTGGTCCTTCAGATCAAGTTGAAGCACTTCTGCATCACCGCTCTTTCCAAGGTCCAATCTCTCATAAACCAGTTGGAAACAACTTGAGCTTATTGTTGTTCCAGCATTCTATTCAGAAGAGCTGAGGAGGGCAGCGAGAAAGCCCTGTTCCATGTCAGCTGTCAAGAACCCCTTCTCCCCCACACGAAGTCAATGGGGAAGCTGGCAGGAAGTTGAAAACAGGTGCCTGCCTTCCTTAACGACAGCAGCTAAGGTGCTAGGATTGCGATGTGACGTCATGCGTCACCCATTATGACTGCTGTGCTTAGCGATGGCAAATCCTGTCCCGATTGCCACTGTAAGCCAAGAACTACCTGCATGGGGTGGGGCTTGAGCATACAAAAGGGGTGGAGCTTGCTTTGCAGTGTCATGTGGGGCTGCTGTTTTCACTTCTGACAGATGCATCGGATCCCTTGGATATTTCTGGACCCTACTGAAGTGAAACTGCTTGTTCAGGTGGTCTTCTTACAAAGTTTATTTAAAAGGCTGTAAGGAGAGGGAGTGATGATTCAACACAAGTAGACCACAGATCTAGAGATTGGGCATCTACCACATGACACCCTTTTCCAAAACTGATGTCTGTGAATCTTGGTTTGAATCACCCATAACAATCACAATGGCTTTAAAAAAAAACCAGATATAATAAAATGGTGATGCAATCACTCAAATAATCTTCAGCTCATCTCCTTGGCTTTGATGCCAAGTTAGGTGATTTGTTGGAAACAAATTCATAGATTTGTTGCCATAGATTTCTGGGTCTGCATCAGACAAATGGCTCCATCACCTATATTCTCCTTTGTATGTGAGAATCTATCCATGCAGGAAATGTATAGGATCTCTCTTGTACATGTAGGATTGTACATGTACTTCTTGGGCTTCCTGTTGAGGGAATTGACAGTGGTCGTCTTGATTTTGTATTTAAGGAACAAGTGAAGTGGGCATATCCCACCAATTGAAAAATCTATTTCCTGAGGAAATAGACAACTTCTTAACATTTAGATTTTGAAAAAAAAAAAAAAAGAAAGTAAGTAAATTAGGCTAGCTTTTTCCTGCATGCTAGCTTTGAACTAAAGCTCCCATATGGGATTTCAACTAGAGACCACTGAAGTTCTAGTCTAATGCCTCCTCTGAAGACTGAGGAAGAATGAAGTAAAATAATAGGAAGATTGATGGCACTTCACTCACCATTACAGGCAGACAAATGTATCTGTATGCCGGCTTTTTGACATTCCACACACACCTAAAAGACAAGGAAACATTTGTAAAGAAACTTATGTGAGGGCTTCCAACCACCACAGGTACACCAAAGCACCAATCTGATGGCCAAGATCCTGATAAACAATGATCTTTTATTAATTCTGGCACAAGGCGGAGGCACAGTTTGTGTTCCACCCCATAGTCTATTATAAGGAGTCTATTATACTGGGAGCAGCTGTTTTTCCAATTCAGTACAAAAAGGCACGACTAGTTCATTTGTTAATATCACATTTTAAAAACAACCTATTTAGGCCCTGATGAATTATAATCCTTCCTAAATGGCAGCGTGAGGGAAGAAGAACATTATTTAAACTGACCCAGCACAATGCAGATGCGGGAGGCAATGCCGTCTGGAGTGAGAAGCAAATGCCTTTTTTTAAAAAAAAACAACCTTTTCACTGTAAACAGATTTCTCTTTTGTGGAAAATCATGCTCTAATTCTGGATGTTTGCGGACCCAATGTGTCTGCAGACAAAACCCTGACTCATTGACCAGACCCTTACCTCATCTGATTTTCTACAATCAGGGGTCTCCAACCTTGGCAACTTTAAGACCTGTAGACTTCAACTCCCAGAATTCTTCAGCCAGCAAAACTGGCTGAGGAATTCTGGAAATTGAAGTTCACAGGTCTTAAAGTTGCCAAGGTTGGAGACCAGGGGTGAAATCCAGCAGGTTCTGACAGGTTCTAGAAAACCGGTAGCGGAAATTTTGAGCAGTTCGGAGAACCGGTAGCAGAAATTTTGAATAGTTTGGAGAACCAATAAATACCACCTTTGGCTGGCTCCAGAGTGGGGTGGGAATGGAGATTTTGCAATATCCTTCCCCCAGGAGTGGGGAAGAAATGGGGATTTTGCAGTATCCTTTCCCTGCAGTGGGGTGGGAATGGAGATTTTGCAGTATCCTTCCCCTGCCATGCCCACCAAGCCACACCCACAGAACTGGTAGTAAAAAAAAAAATGGATTTCACCACTGTTGGGAGACCCCTGTTCTAAATCATTCAATTCAAATAGTGTGATGCTGGTGTAGTGTAAAGCCAAAGACCAGTCTGCATTATTACTCTCAATTTCAAAAAGGCCTCTGTTTCTTAAGAGATGAAAATGATAGGCAGATGCAGTTCAGAGCGGTTAGGAAAATCTGCTTGCTTGCACAGAAAAAGACAAAAAGGAAGTGGCTGTAGAAGGGAGCATTCTGCAGGAGAATTATTTAAAATCTGGGACAAGAGGCACCCCAGGATATTGCCTTTGTAATTGGTCATATTCCCTATGGCTGCCATTTGGAGAATAGGAGAGCCCCCGCATCTCCCCCCTCCCCGTAATAGCCATTGTTTAGGAGTACTGACAGCATGTTCTCAAAACTTCTGTCAACTTATAATTACAACTCCAGATGTGTCCAGCAGCCAAATGTCGAGAGACTCCCAATGTAACAGAAGTTCTGTTGTCTTTAGAAGGGAGGGAGAGCCCTTCATTGTCTTCTTTACTTGCAGCTGAACTCAAACCAAAGAACTTGAAGCAAATACAGAGTTTAGTAGTTGAGCAGTGGAGTAGAACTACCAACACTGAGAAGTTCATGTTTCTTTTGAAGAGGTTCCTCTGATTCAACTGGACCTCTGGCCAAAGGAATTTGTGCAGAGGTGGGTTTCAGCAGGTTCTGACCAGTTCTGGAGAACCAGTAGTGGAAATTTTGAGTAGTTCGGAGAACCAGTAGTAAAAATTCTGACTGGCCCCACCCCCATCTATTTTCTGCCTCCCACATCCCAGCTGATCAGCAGGAAATGGGGATTTTGCAGTATCCTTCCTCTGGAGTGGGGAGGGAATGGAGATTTTACAGTATCCTTCCCCTGCCATGCCCACCAAGCCGCGCCCACCAAGCCATGCCACGCCCACCAAACCCACCCACAGAACCGGTAGTAAAATATTTTGAAACCCAGCACTGAATTTGTCTCTTTAGCAGTCTCTAACTCTGGAAGAACAGAAGAATGGAATGGAACACATTTGGGAAGGACCAGAAAAAGAGAGATAGGGGAGCCTTGTCCATTTTTTATCAGAGCCCATCCATTCCTTTCACACAGCCTGTGACAAAATGCCCTAGGCCTAGGGGGATTTGACCTTGGTGAAAAAAGATTCCTCTTTAAAGGAGGAGAATCATGAATTGCTCCAATGCCCGGGGTCAACCCCCACCCCACCACATTGCAGACAGAATCAGTCCTGCCTTCCCCCAAAAGTCTGAAGTATCAAGAAATCAGGAAATCTCAAGGTATTTCAGGGATCACAACATAAGATTTAGTGAACTTCCATAGAGTCAGGTGAGGTTCTAGCAGTGGTGAAATTCAAAATTTTTTACTACCGGTTCTGTGGGCGTGGCTTGGTGGGTGTGGCTTGGTGGGCATGGTAGGGGAAGGATACTACAAAATCTCCATTCCCTCCCCACTCCAGGGGGAAGGATACTGCAAAATCTCCATTCCCTCCCCACTCCAGGGGGAAGGATATTGCAAAATCTCCATTCCCACCCACTCTGGGGCCAGCCAGATGTCGTATTTGCTGGTTCTCCAAACTACTCAAAATTTCCACTACTGGTTCTCCAGAATCTGTCATTACCTGTTGGATTTCATCCCTAGGTTCTAGCCATCTTAAACTATCTGTACTTTTCAGAATCAGAATCGATCTTTATTACGGTCACAGATCAGCACAAAAGTTGAACGTTAAAATAAATACATTCTCTAGAAATTATTGGAAAAGCCAAGTAGTAATATGAATAAGGCTCTTTAGCTGTTTTTTTTTTCCTTATTAACATTGCAGCAGCACAAAATTTTGCTACTGGATGAGTGGTGGCTGGATTTGAATCCTTAAAGGAGATGGTTCACGTAGAAGTTATCTGATCCGCCTAGAGATCTCTCTACTAGAGGGAGAATGTACATTGATCTGATGTCCCTGTAGAACTTGCAATGCAATAGGACATGAGATAACTTCACCTTCCCAATTCCCACATTTCCACCTTTGCTCAGCAATTGGGGTTTTATCATACTTGCCCTGCAGGAATGCTGAAGGGAAGATATTAAGTCTGGCTCTAAAAAATGCTATTCTACTCTTAGGAAAAGTCAGGTCTTTCAGATACCTTGCTGGTTCCCACACACCCCACGTAATCCAATTTCTTCTGTGGAGAGATATTCGGTAAATTCTAGCTGAAACTCCATATCTCTAATTCTATTGGTAATCACTTGCTTGCCTTGATCGTAGTCTAGTGGGGAAAGTCCATAGAAAGCCAGCTTATGCTTTATTGCCTGTTTCCTGGGAGAGGGAACGTTGTCTATCAGAACTGAAGCTGTCAAGGCCCTCTGGGAAGAATTGAATTCTCAACCAGTCAATTATCATCATCTTTCAGGGTGAATTTGAGGCATTCCTGTCTCATGTCTCAACTGGGCATTTGATGTCCTGCTAGGTGCAGCTAAAATGGATTGCAGCAATTTTGTTTGTATGGTTTCTAAAGACTCTTTCTTCAAAACAAAAAAAAAATCCTATTTGTGCCCCGTAGAGAATTTGCATCAGTGTTTTAGCCTCAAAGAGTTTTAAGGCTACGGGGACTAATTGTCCTCTGCCTGTGTAAAAAAAAGTGTCTTATAGCATTTGAGAACCTAAGGGCTGATTGCATGGTGTAGTCCAGATGTGCCTTCCAAATATCTTTCATATGGAAAACCATCCCAAGGTACTTGAATGTATTGACCTGTTCTAAATTGTGTCCTTCTATTCTCCAAGAGTATTGAATACCGTGTTTCCCCCAAAATAAGACCCTGTCTTATATTTTTTTGAACCCCGAAATAAGCGCTTGGCCTTATTTTCAAGGAGGTCTTATTATTTTGGGGCACGTGGAACAGGACGGGGCTCCTCTTGCCACCTTACCTGATTTCCAGTTCTGTCTCCCTAACCCTAACCAGAGGAAATGGCAGGGACCGGCTGTGCATGGATTTAAATATTTTCGGGGAGGGCTTATTTTTTTGGAGGGGGCTTATGGGGGCCCTGTGGAATGAACTGCCCCCGGAAATTCGTAAGATTTCTGACCTCCGGGTATTTCGCTGCGCACTCAAGACCCTATTGTTCCGCCAGGCTGGGTTAGCAACATAATTTTAAATTGGATGTTTTAAATTTTTGGGGTTTTAAATTAAGCCAAATTTATTTAATACTTTTAAATTATTTTATATTGATGTTTATTCTGTTTTTAATTAGGCTGTACACCGCCCTGAGTCCTTCGGGAGAAGGGCGGTATAGAAATAAAATTATTATTATTATTATTATTATTATTATTATTATTATTATTATTATTATTATTATTATTATTTTAGCGCATGTGCTCAAAAGCCCAATTGGGCTTATTATCCGGGGAGGTCTTATTTTCAGGGAAACAGGGTAGCTCTTTCAGCAAAAACTAGGATTTTTGAGTTATCGAAATTGAGGGTCAGATTATTTTGTCTACCGTATTTTAATGTTGCTGAAATAGCTCTCTCGAGTCCAATAGGGGTTTGGGTAATAGTAGTGGCATCATCACCATACAGAAGTATCGGAATTTTGCATTGTGCTAAGTTGGGAGGATGGAAGTCTGGGTTATGCAGAAGATCAATCAGGGAATTAATATAAAAATTGAAAAGGGAAGAGGCCAAGATACATCTGTACTTTTAATTTTTGGAGATCTGCAATTACTGTTCTGGGTGCAGCAGACCCCTTGGGCTCCAGTTAAGAAAAGTTCATCTGGAGAGATATTCTCAGTTTTAATCTTGATTTAGTCTCAACACAAACTGGTTTTGACTCTTGTATTCCTCCAGCCTTACTATTTTTCAACCCTTATTCCCCACTACACAGACACAAATGCACATATTTGTATTTTGATACCTGGATAAGGAGCCGGGCGCCGGATGAATCCACAAAGGATATTCCACTGCAGTCAAAAATCACAGCCTGTACATCTAAGCATGGAGAAGTAGATAAGACAGAACCCATATCAATCTCTCTCAACCACTGCAGTTCCACAGATTCAGTCTAACAGCTGCCATGTGCTACCCTGCACTCATCCAGGAGCACTTTTTTTCTCCAGATGGTTTTACACCAGCAGAGAAAAGGCTAACATGAAATTCTGGACACACGCATACATTTCTTCTGTAAAACAGCCAGCATAG